TGTCAACAAAAACAAGAAAGAAAAATCTATTGAATGGAAAACTATTGAACGAAACATCTGGTACAAAATTGGAGGACTTCGAATATAGTATTATGACAGTCTACTTAATTGTTCTACTCGGTGAATGCAAATGTGTTTTATTTGCGGTCACTGATTCTACTAGACTTTAGACAGAAAGCATATCGATGACTTTGTGGTAATCGGAATAATTTTCTGGGTGAGGATGGAAAATAAGCAGACGGTTCTACAGACGCTTAAGCAATTACGATCGACTGTTCGTAATTGTTTAGGCGTTAGGTAATCCGTTAAAATAGGCCTCAGGTACCCCACTCACCGAACGAAATGCAAAAGCACAGACACTTCTAGTTCACGCCAGTCTTCTGTGAAACCTTGACAATTCCCGTATGAGTTCCTAATCCGTGCAGCATCAGAAAGTTTTACCCAGGAAGTGCACCCTAAATTTAAATTAAAAATTTCCTCTTTGCCGACCACAATAAGTGGCTAGATCGATCAAGAATAACAAAATAGGTGCGGATAACAGGACTAGCTCATTAACTTTATCTATTACAATAAGATTTCTTTCTTCATTGTGTAATCTTTTATCGCTATCGTACTTGTGATTTATTTTTAAACCTATGGAGGATTGTCGCCATGGCGATAAAAACATTAAACACGCAAGCAGTAAAAGAATCTCGGGTTATCTCTATTTACTTATACAACCACAAAAGATTTTTCCCAAGAACCATACTATCTTGGAATAGACATAGCATTGGATTAAAAATAAACTTTATCTCAAGTTCAGCTTCGTGGTCTCCGTAGTAATGCTCTTGCGTCATATCTTAATTCTCTTGTGACTTTGTTACGACCTGTTGAATTCTTATTTAATTATATATGCCTACCAACGAAAAAACGCGAAAGTAATAAAGGCTGGGATTCCTCAACCCAGAGAAGATAAAATATATGTGTCTACACTTGAACGTGGAGTGCATTCTGATGTAAATATAAATTTCAACTTCGTTCGCTAAAATTTGGAAAGAATTTAGACATTGTTAATAATCTTATCTGTGGCAACAGTTTGCGACCCATCACGAATAAGTGCAGAGCTCGTGCAACAAATTTGTTGTCAGTTTTCTGAGGACTTCGGAAAACGTCAAGACGGCGGTGGTGTGAGACGCTACAGTGGGTGTGTCCGAGAGAGATGAAATACTTTTATATAGTTTCATAAGCCTCACAGTCAATGTAATTAAGATAGATAAGGACGGTGTTTGCTCGTAAAACGTAATTGTACATGATCTTCAACGGCCTTGTCTTTTGTTAAAAGTTAAAAATGAATTATTATGTAAGTCGATGTTAAATTACTATTAAAAAATACATAATCATTATTTTATTGTTCACCAAAAAATATAACGTAATTTTTTGTGAGTGGAAAATGTAGTAAGCTATAAAAATATTCAACAGTTAATTGCTATGTAAGTTTACAGGTTGATAATGGGTCTAAATCATGAGTGAATAAGAAAACTGTACTTTAACGACTTTCGTGGAGCGATTGACTTGGACCACGCGTCTCGGCGTGCCGAGTCCACGCCGTGTCCCCTAATCGGTGACGAATCGCCCTGGCCCCGGTCCAATTAGGAGCGGTTTCGAGTGGCAGCACCCGCGGCACAGAGGTCCCTTTCAATTGTGCGCCTTGTACTCGCCCATTTATAGACGCTCGGCCCATTCAGCGGGCGAGCGTCAATCGCGCACACCATTTGCGACCGTATTGCTTTTGTGATGCAAATTCTTTCATGCCCGCTGGCGTATATGGCTCGCTGATTGACGTAGTTGCATGATTATGAAGATGCCCATTGAGGGCTTTGCGTGGAGTTTTCTATGTCAATCTTTCGTTACAAACCGTACCCCGGCTGTTCACGAAATTGTGTTTATAGAAAACCACCTAAAATTCGATTCTCAGGTCATACAAATATTACTTACAGGATAAAATAAACATCGGTAGCGCTTAAGTCTTCAGCTTGAAAGCAGAACAAACTTATTGCCTTGACTAACTGGGATTCAATACAAGATTTAAAATATCTTTATCCAAATATACGCTTGCGCGTTCCTATGAATCGAATTTTACATAAAAATTTATGCATAACTTCGCAAGTAAAACTTTCACTATTTTAATTAAAGCTAAAACTTTCACTATTACACAATGTCCAATGTCATTTTAAATGTAATTAATGTACACATGTTCATCATGATCGAGAATTAATTCTATATAAAAATGTTTACCCGTTAGTGTACCAAAGGAATAGACTATTCCCAGGGAAATATTTAGTTTAGCTAGAGTTTAAAACGTTTTTTTTTTTAAACTCTTTATACGCAAAAAATACGCCCTCTACAGTACGACTGTACAAGGCATCAATAACAAAGGGTGCATTCAGCACAGCGTATAGCTCAAATGACTCACATGCCAGCTGATACGAGGCGTTCACTATGCACTTTATCACAGGCAGCCGCTGACAGGTTATTTGTCCGTCCGTCGCGCCGACAATATATTTAATTACGATAAACCGCGTGCCGCGCACTTGACCTACACCAATAGCTGTATTCATCCCGCTTTATTGCCAGCCGACTGCACTGTAGTACTCGGGCTGTTTTAACTGTGGTAGGGCAACGCAACTGTCTTGAGTGTTGCACGATTGGGCAGGTCCGTATGAGTACCACCAGCTCACAGAAGACCGGCGTGAAGTGGAAGTGTTATAATTCCGCGTTTCGTCTAGTGAGTGCGGTAGTCGGAGCACATTACTAAAAGGCGGCAACGCATTTGCAACCCTACGGGTGTTGCGAATGACAATGGCCGGTGGCTATCACTTACATCAGGTGAACTAGGAGTCAGTTCATTGACTTGCCACCTTCACACATAAAAAAAGAATGTTTTTACGCACGTTTATAGTAAACGAAAAAACGTCGTATAAACGAATCAAGTATTTCATTACCGTAATAACAAATTATGGGAAAAATACTTATATATGGCGGACTAGTAATAATATTAATGATTTATGCGAAAAACATGATTTACATTTGTTTTATACTAGCTGTGAACTCAAGATTTCTTAGTCTTTTTATAAATATGCATTTTTATCTCATTGTAAGTTCTCCAAATTAGATAGATGTACGGAATCATGGTGCTAAAAGTATGGAATGACAAAACATTAATTTATTTTGCTTCTATCAGTGAAATCTGTAATTGGCTGTTTTGTTTTCATATTTATGTTGTATAAGCTGTTGGTTTTCGATAAAATAAAAATAAATGAAGAAATTATGCGTCCATAGACAGATATTGGGGTTGTAGTAGTTATCAAACTGTAATTATCAAACAAAAGGCGAGCTCTTTATTTCATTTCATTCCGATCGCCCGGAGACCGTGGCATTTACCCAAACAATCCGGCACATTCATGCCACGGCCGAAGAGTTCATCAGGGGCTCTACTAGAGTACAGGCTTTACAAAGTGCCCACAGTGCCCTAAAGATGACCGCTATATGAAAATGGTTTGAAGGTATAATCACCGATTCACTTGCAAGGTAACTTGATGAACCAAATTTGGCTACACACAGCAGTAAACTGGTTCTTTTGTATTCCAACGGAACATAATTAAAAATCATAAATTTGAAGGCGGCTAGTGTCAGAAACAAATAAGAATCGCTCGGAAACGGTATGTGGTCGCCTAACACAAACGTTAGGCGACCACATACCGTCCCAGTAATTACTTAATAATGTTTTATTACCTCGCAAACACAGTCAATATAGTTACGTAACTGAATAAGGTCAAAGACCTATTACTGCCTAAGCAGCTGTTTACAAAACCTCTAATCTAGCGAGGATTAGACTAAAAGACGACAAACTATTCGACCTTGCACCAAGGTTAAAGATGCGCCGATATCACGAACACGAAATTCTATTAATGTTAAAATTAAAATCACAGTAGTGTGTTCATTGCGTTATAAATCTTCCTTCATCGTCGGATGATCATTAAACATCAGACATTTCTCGTCAAGCCTTAAATTATTATAGTTTGTAGTAAACGTCGGAACTGCAGAGCTTCGTAAAGTTCCAACTGCTATGATGTGATGCTCAAAGTTTATGCGTCGGCAGTATATATTAGCATATTTTTTGAAAAGTATGTCCGTTGGAGCAGACGGGTTCTCGAATGGAGACCACGTCTCGGAAAACGTAGTGTCGGACGTCCCCCTGCCAGGTACAGGACCGATGACCTGAGAAAGGTCGCCGGTAGTGGCTGGATGAGGAAAGCGGAAGATCGTGCTCTGTGGCGTGCCCTTGGGGAGACCTATGTCCAGCAGTGGACTGCAAAAGACTGATTGGACTTGAACTTGTGAGAATGGTTTATTTAATGAAGAGCATAAACACAAGATTCGCGGTTATCTACCTACCCGGCTGCGCGACGGACATGTTAGTTTACTAATATACTTTGTAATGACTAGATAACGAAACAATTACAATTCATAAATGTTTCGAATGCACATTAATGTGATAGCTGGTGCGGGTACAAATAAATGTCAATTGTCCAATTAAAACTCAATTAAATTGACGTTATTTAACAAAAAAAAAGTAAAATTAGCCTATATATGTCCCACTGCTGGGCAAGGCGTCCTGTTTACATAGTATTAAGGCATTGTGCACCACGCGATCCCACAGCGAATTGGCAGATTTCACAAATCTTCGCATTTTTCTTTTTCGTAAATTTGCCAGTTTCCACACGATGTTTTCCTTCACCGTTGAGCGCGTGATAATTTAACAGCAGTTAAAATTGACAATTTTAATGGTGCCGATACCAGAAATTGAGCTCAGTTTGATAGAGTATATTGAATTAAAAGCGAACGCCCGGACAATGAGCTATCACGGCTCAACGCTACAGAAGCTATTTATTGACGATATTTATATTGGTTCTGTATTGTTACGCATAAAGGTGTGTTTCATGACCATTAGTTGTACTTACAATCCAGGATAACTTGGAGAGGAGTCTCTCTATCACGAGTGTAGGCATCCCGAAGGTAGGAAGTACAGCACTTCAAACACTTTAACAAGAACTTATTTCTTATACGTTGTTTTAACGCTTCACTTCAAAGATAAAGAGGAATGTTAATTAGGAACCCGAGAGCGAGTGCATTTATTAATAAGAAATCCCAATAAAATATTTTAAAACAGGAAAGATTACTTTGTATTAAAAGAATCGATCATCAGTTGAATGTGACATTACTGTACAAAATTTAAAATAATGATCCTCAATTGGTATATGATTTTTATTATAACTTTTATATTGTTAACGATTATGTTTTTACCACCTTCACTCCATTAAAACTGTCCACTTTTTCAATGTAATAACAAGCCTGATTCCATATAAAAATCATGCCTTCATCAACCAAACTGGCGGATAATTTAAAAAAAACTTCGCCGAGGGTAAATCCTGTAATATTAAATAACAAAACTATAAGCTTCGGAGACGCTCGTGAAGATCTAAATTTAAACAAGTCAGATCTTTCTGAAGACTGGAAACCTCCAGTTTGTTTTTGGATATAGCGACCGCCTGCATCGCGAGGCGTTATGGTAACCTACGGTTTAGTTGATACTCATTGCGATATCATCTGAACATACAATAATGTAACGCCACGTCGACGGCATTCGCCCGTGAATTAGATTGCCCAGTTCACGTAGAGGCGTCGGGTTCAAGGCGGACGCGCGCTATAAACGTTATTTTTAATTTTATTAGTTCTGGATGTGCACGGGACGTAAGACAATCGCCTCCTCGACACGGCGGAATCGTAAAAGAAACGACTTTGATTTACACGCGAAAGGTTATAACGCACGAGAATATAGACAGGGCAACCAAATAGACAATAGATAACAAATATATTTTTCTATAGTGTTCAGGTTGTGAAGATTTAACCTTCTCATTCCAATGACACTCTCAATTTATTAAAGTATCTTAATGTTCTAACGGAAACCATATAAGATCCATCAAAAATATTAAAATCCAGAAGTTTGTACTAAGCTTGGGACTACCGGTGGCAGATTGAAACATACAAAAAGCGCTCGCAACGGGTTCCTATAACATTACCTCTAACAAAAACACACTATCTACGATATCGACAGGCGACCAGCGATTTTGCATGACCGTACCGCGCGCGACTCGCAAAGATACTGGGGCAGAGGTGGTGAGTTGTCATCTAATTAGAGCCTTATCGCGGACGCTATCGAGCTGTGTAAGCACGCCGCTGCCGCGTGCACACAACCGCAATCTAACAGATCGCAAACAGATAGGGACATATTGACGTTCATAGGACGATATGGAAGCTCTAAGTCAAGTGAAAACACCACGACCATGAGTTAGGTAGCCGACCCTCTCTCCAAAAGTTATTGGTGTCCATGAGAGGCGGTAATAACTCAACATCAATGTGGTGCCTATTGATTTTTAGCCGATTTCAACAAAGGGGATCCGAAATTCTGTTGTATTTTTTTTACGTTTGTTACCCGAGAACTACGAAATTTTTCTTTTTTCTTTAGCATCGGGATCGGTTTAGCTTTGTTGTGGTCCCGTATCAATTACAATAATGTCGGAGCTATCCTCAAAATCAAATAGAAAACGTATAGTGAGAGAGATATTAGAAGTCCCGTAGGTTCCGTACCCAAAAGGTAAAACGGGACCATATTACTTGAGACTACACTGTCTGTCTGTCCGTCCGTCACTAAGCTGTATCTCATGAATTGTGATAGTTAGACAGTTGAAATTTTCACATAATATGATGTATTTCTGTTATAACAACAAATACTAAAAAACAGAATAAAATATATTTAAAGGGAGGTCCCATACAATAAAACATAAAATATTTTTTTTGCCGATAACCACCAAACAAAAGCCAACAAACATAAAATATTTTTATAGATAATGGTATGGAACCCTTCGTGCGCGAGTCTGATTCGCACTTGGCCGGTCTTTTGTTAGTAAAAATATTATAGTTATTCACAATTTTCTTCCCAAGGCAGCATGAGGGACATAATGAAAATCATTCACAATTAATTTTATACTTTTATAAACAGTTTTAATTTTACCTATACCAATACAATGGATTATTCTCAATGGGTTTGTTACTCATGCAGTTTTAATTTAATCTATACCAATACATTAAACAATTCTCAAAAGGTTTGTTATCCATGCAAGTGAAAGAGGACTACACGGTAATAAAACTAAGCCGTGGGGATCTGTAACATTTAGGAATATGTTTGTGCAAAACACTATCGCCTAATGACATTTTCATATTCACATATTCTGGAATTGGACAGAGTTCCGTGAAACGCCCACGCGCTAGGCGATGCCATCCAGTTATTAGCTCGTTTGCAGCTATCACGCCCCCGTGCACCAGATAGCCCCGTTACGTTTATTTTAACGGATGAGATTTCATTTTTTATGCGAAAAGTTGGCAAGCGAGCAGTTCACGTGATGTTGAGTGATAGCTGACGCTCATGGACACCTGGAATACCTGGAGGGTTGCAGATGGGTTGCCACCTTTTAATAAAGTGCACTCCGATTACATCCTGAGTGACTTATGCCACCCATGGACATCTGCAACACCTGGAGGGTGCCAGCTTTTAGGTGTTTATTTTAACCAGATGAGATAATTCACTTTTCTTCTGTTTCCCCGGACGAGCCTGCCCATTCGTGCAACAGCCGAAGCTGCTGCGTGTCCCTACCGGTGTTGTCTAGAACGACCAGCCCCCCTGCCTGTTGCAGATGGGTTGCCACGCAAATACTTGCCCCGTGTGAGAATCGAACCGAATAGCAACTACGCCATCTACCTATGGTGGTTAAATTCTAAATCCGTAAGAGTTTAATAAACACTTGAATTGAAGTAATAAATTTCAGAAATTGTACACAACAATAAAATTCAATTACAAGTACATGTTATGTATAAATAATTAATTTAACCGTTTGACGTTAAGTCACCGCTTCACGTAGTTTAGAAAAGCATTATGTTTCCAAAAACATCGTGTATATTAAAAAGTGGCTTGTCAACATCTTTGACTTTAAAATCTAACATTCAAGACCGGTCTTCGCCCTGAGCGTTGAAAGGGAGTCATGATGTTTGTTAGCACCACCCACTGCCGAGAAACAAAGTTAGAGCAACTGTCTTCGGTCCATCGAGTCGAGATAATTATATACGATAATTTCAGATAGGACTAGCAAATCGACACGATAACCGGCGAACAGCACATTAGCTGAGTAGAGGATAAGCGTTATCAGCGCGGCCTTATAACAGCTGCTGTGAAACAATGGACCTGTTTGTACATAACATACCTTTCCGGTAATAACTGCATGGGGTGTGAAATCGGTCGAGTAATCTCCGTTTCAGCGAGTTTTGTTGTTTCGCGTTCGCGATAATTTTTATTGTGCCGCACTAAATTCTTGCGATATGTTTCACGGAGTGTTTAATTGTTTTATGATATGATTGCAGTAAAAATACAGCTTTCACGTATTGAAACACTCCATACTAACACAATAGTAGAATACTTAATGATTCAATTTATTTATTTTTTAATAAGAGAAGGTAAACGAAGAAGCAGAGTAAACCAATTGCCAATCAAGACATCATAGTCTAAATAATTATAGTTTGGACCAACTTGCAAAATAATACAAAAGTTACTTCTTAGTATAATCAGAAATTATTTTATTACACAGAATCATTGTCATCACTTGTCTAATATAAATGTAAAACAAACAGAATATGTACTAGAAAGTTACAATAGATAAGCACTATACTGACTATAGACTACCTGTTTATTTATGTACCTGTCTATTAGAGCATATTGTGACATAATGGAATGAAATAAGGAAAATGTTAATGCATAATAAAATAATTACACAAACTATAAAACCAATATGTACGATTTACCACAGGTTAAGTTGTGAATACATGAATCGAGAGCGTGCAACAGTAATAGGATAGAAAATTGTTGTATTGTATATATGCTTTATTTAACACCACAAAACATAAAAAAAATGTTACAAAAATAAAAAAATTTATGAGGTAGATACAATAAGGCGGTCTTATTGCTAAAGAGCGATCTCTTCCAGACAACCTTGTTGTTAAAAGTATATTACGTATACGTATAGACAAAAAAATAACGCTACAAAGGGAGCAATAGTTCGTACAAATCTCGTCAAACAAGAGATATAAATAGAAGGACGAAAATAAAACGCAGTGGAAATAGAAACGGAGAACAAATAAGATAAGAATTAAGGTTGATAACAGCCGAGATTTCGGTGCGTGCACTATTTGTGGTAATAAATTCTGTCGGTGACAGAACATATCGTGTCCTAAAGGCGAAGCTGATGGTTGTATATTTTGATTTTTTATGGACAAAATGGGGGCAAACGGGCAGGAGGCTCACCTGACGGAAAGTTTTCACCGCCACCCATGAACATCTGCAACACCGGAAAAGAGGAAGGCTTGCAAAAGTTTTACTGGCCTTTCAGGAAAGAATATGCTTTCTCCTTGAAGGTTGCCAAGTCGTAACGGTTTGGGAAGACCAGTTATCGGATGGGAGCTATTTTATTATGAATTATTTATTTAATATCTCGCCTGAATAAGGGCAGCGTCGTAGCTGTTGATGGTAGTCGCACTAGCTAAGCAAAAGCATAGAAAGAACGGAAGCCGTATGGTTTGTTTGAACAGATCATTCAAATGGTAAATGTAGTAAATGCAGTATACATTCTGGGTACTTTGATATTGCAGATTGCATTTGTGTCGACGATAGTGTAATAAAGCAGGGATGAATTAGCTATCGCGTGTTTTATTTACTGCATTATGGCATCGGGTTTATAAATAAATTGTGCAGTTGGTCTCAATAAGGGAGGGCAGTGACGATGGACCGGCATAGCTCGTAGAACCGATAACCAATGGGCAAGAAAGGTTCTTGATTAGTAGCCTCGTACTGGTCATCGCAGCGTAGGACAACCCCCACTGGATGGAATGACCTGTGCAAATGTGC